AAAAAAAAAAAAAAAAAAAAAGCTTGAAGCTCAGTATGAGAGCCAGCTGAGTATCCTCCCTCTGGAGTTTCAAACAGGTTGGGGCACTTACTATGGTATAAGTTCCAATATGTCCTGGTATCTTAGGAGCTTCTTCAGGTGCTTGCCAAAGTGACAGAAAATCCACTGAGCACAGCGTAAGGAGGACCCTTCTCTATGCATGGGTGATTTGGATATGATATTTATCAATGCTGAGCACCTGGATTGCTTTGGCTGATCTGGCTGGCTTGGAGGATTTTCCATTCTTCCCTCGCTGTTCCATGTTTCCTTTCCAAAACCTTTCCCTTTGTCAAAGAGAGGAGTGTTTTCTGCTAGCAAAAGTGGGAAAGCAACAAAGGAAAAGATATTCCTTGTTATAACCTGTTAAAAAGCTATTCTTCAGTAAAACTACTTGTGCATGAAGATGAAGGTGTAGATTGAAAATTCATTGTATATGATATGGATGAAGTCTAACTGATGATTTAATAAGAGCTAATATTGATAGCTCTATGCAGGCATGTAATATGTTCACTGCCTTTTTTAGAGAGCATGAAAGACAGAAGGAATAAGCACTGTGAGAAGACTATGACACCTCCCATCCTACACATTTGATTCCATCTTTTATCCCTGGTCTCCATTCTGAGCTGTTAGAGGTATTTCTACTGCTAAGATCCCTTTCAACACTCACCCCTGGCTTCAAAGTCCAAGTCTTTCATTTCCTTGCCCCATACTTATTTTCTGTTTCATTGCATATGCTACTTTCTTGCACTTGTCTTGCTAAAGCCTCCACCATGGCTATTTAATATTTAAAGGCTGGGATCACTTTGCAGGTTTTAGTTTAAAGGTAACCATAGCGCACACACACACATTCATTATTAATAGCAGAGATGCACTGTAAGTTCTTGGGAATCTTCTTTCGTTTTGATGTTAGTTTCATATGAGTGCTGCTGTCACTAGAATTAAGCTCTGGTATTGTTACATGGAAAGTGGACTGATGCAGTAACCAGGGAACCAGAATTATGTGAACAGCTTATTATGTGGATGGGACCATGCTAAAAAGGGAGATGAAGCCAGAAAATGACAGGTCACGGAAAGTCCGGTTTCGGATCGCATCATCTCACAGTGGGCGAGTTCTGAAGGAGGTATATGAAGATGGGCGACCGGCAGGCTCTCTGGATTCTGAATGTGCCAGTATCTGTGGCATAGATGGACTCAGTGAGTCTGATGGACAGCAGAATGGCCACATAGGATCGGAAGGGGACGAGCAGGAGAATGACCAGGATAACTTGCTGGTGTTAGCAAGGGCTGCCAGTGAGAAGGGGTTTGGTACAAGAAGAGTCAACATTTTAAGCAAAAATGGCACAGTCAGAGGTGTTAAATATAAAGTCAGTGCTGGACAAGCTCTATTTAACAATTTGACCAAAGTATTGGAGGTAAGTCACTGTACTTTGTCCTTCCTGATCTTTGTTTCTTATTCACCATCTCAACACCTCTCTCTTCTCCAGTTTAAAGCAAACCTCTCTTATTCATGATTCCTACATACTTCATGAGTCACTTCTACATCTAGGATATTGTCTCAACAGCCATTGATTAAAAATAAGGTCATATGCTTAGCAAATTAGATTGACTTCTCAAAGCCGAATTCCTAACATTTAAGTAGTCGTCTTCTAGGGTGTAATGACTAAAGCAATATATCTGTTTCTTAGCCAAGGAAGGGAAGAAGACAAACTGTAGTCTTCAAAGCATTTGAGCAAAGCTTAGGAGTTAATTTCTGGTTAATCATCCTTAAGACACCAGTTTAGCATTTATCATCACTTGTATAGATATTTAAACCAGAAAAGGCTGAGTACTGCATTCAGTGGAGTTGGATTCAGCTGGAATGTTATGTAGATATAAAGGCTTCCTCCCATTCCTGGGGAGGTTGCAGATTTCATCTGAGGTGCATTTCTCCATTAATTTGCTTAAGATCTCTAGAGCAGCACTTGAAAAAGTTATTCTATAAATGTACAGATTGAGATCCAGATTTTATATTAAAAAATTAGCCCTTAAGTTATGATAGATTCTGCTCAGTAATGTAGGAATGTATTATTCAGGTCCTGGGCCTTTGACAGTGATCTTATGTTAAGTTTTTGAAATTGCCTGGAAGCATTGGTGAAATGATTTTCTGTTAAAAACAGGCATCATTATTTCAGGAATGGAATTCATAATCACTACCATTAAGATAGCAAGCCAGTATTTTTCATTGTAATACCATTTTATATTATTCTCAATATTTAAATAAAATGATCTCTTGTGATGAATTATTCAATGCCTTGACATTATATAACAACACGGGAGTGGTGGGGATTTTAACCAAAGACACTTATTTTTCATTTAAAGGAAGTATATGGAAAAGTCACATCATGAGGATTTAGAAAAGAAATCAAAGGATAAAAGCAGTTAAAAGCAAAGGTTTTTTTCATTTATAGAATTTACCCGGGAAGGATTTCACAGATTAGGGGAGGGGGTTGAGAACCAAAAATCAGAAACTGATGACTATGTTTTTCTAGGTTGGAAGCAATCCTGTGTGGATTTCTAGTCATTAGGTTGAGTTCATCTTAGTGGCCTCTGTGTTGCACCCAATGCAGAAATTGTTATTGCTAAAGTGTAGACCAAGACTCTGTAACAATTGTTTAAAAATGTTTGCATTCTTGTGATTAATTTAGCTTGTCATGATTTCAATTGCTGTATGATTTGGAGGATTATTTACAAAACTGCTGTACCAATTTTAGTACTTAGATCTGAATTTGTTGTTCAAATCTCTCAAGAAACCTAGCATTTATGAGTAAATATCTTAAATCTTCAAAACCTATGAGAGAAGAGCTTTTCCTCCCTATGGCTTTATCCTGATACTGCTATAAATTCACAAGGAGGAAATAGAAGAACTTCCAAAGTCCAAATTTAGTACTAGATTAGGTGACAATATTTACTTATGTTTTTATGCATAATTCCATCCCACCCTTTTTTGGAGAAAAAAATCTGTCATTTTCTAGTAATTTAACCTCATCCCATTTACCCCATGCTTTAAGAAAACAATAATGGTTCCTAGCAGAGGTCCCTCAAAGTCTGATATTTAATCAGTTTCTTTTGGTCATTCTTTTTTTAAAAATAATTATACAGTAATCAGCACATTGTGGGTATTCACAAATTTGGGCCATCATCATTAGTGTTCATCATCATTACCATTGCCATCATTGTCATGGGAATATTCTCCCATCTCTCCAGGATAAAATGTTAAAGGAGCTCCTACCTTGAATCAGGCTGCCAGCTGCACTATTCTAAGGGGCTCCATTCACATCACTGTGTGAGCAGCACCGCTTGGAGTTGTGCAGTGCAATCTACACAGCGTTATGTTGAGAGCTGACTTGGATACTTGCTGCTTGCTAAGAGATGTGTATGTCATAACAGGTGACAAATATCTTAGGCATATGTCTTAGGATGACTGAGTAGGTCACGCCTAGAGGCATCCCACAATACAGTAGCAGAGAAGCCCCAGGGGGTAAAAGCAGAAGTTACCATTCAATTACTCCCCTAAGTGTGATATAGGGGCCAGATGTGACTCTTCCCTGGATCTCTGTATATTTTCCGAATTCCTTGGAAAGTAAGCAGCAAACTTAACTAGATGTAACTGTAATGTAGCAATTTCTCTCAGTGAGGAAAAGTGAGGAGTCAGGAGTCATATCTTGGATATTTGATTAAGGTTCCAATGCACAGCCAATCTTATTGAAGAAAGGAACTGTGATTGAAGAAACAGTCAAGTTTTTCTTCCCTTTTTAGGTTATAAAATCTTAAAGCACTCAATCTGAAACTTGAGAGGGAGCCCTAAATACAAATAATATCTTTCAAAGACCCTGTAAATCACTTTGCTTCCTCTCTATTAGTTTTCAATTATGTTATTGCTGTCTCATAAAACATTGGCATGTGCTTTGCAAAAATTTCAACTGTGCAGAGAATAGTCATTGAAATGATTTGCTCCAAACGTTTACACTTCTTAGCAGCACTTATTTAGAAAGTTGTCTGTAAAAGGGACATTAGAACAAATTTTCATTTTGTTTGTCAATGAATTTACCCTATAGAATTCTGGGTAATTGAGGATGTGCAGTATTAATCAAGGTTTTGAAGGGTACTGATGGGCCAGGAGAGAAACGGTCACCTGGATGATCAGGTGGCCCTTATAGACTGTGTGGTTCGTTGGTGAATCACTCAAGAGCCTGGAGCTGGTTTAAGTTATGGCTTTTCAGATGCCTGACTTTTTCATTTCTCTCAGAGATGACAAGAATGTAATGCTTAAGAGAGGCCAATTTGGAAATCTGAAAACCTAGAATCTAGTCATGGCCTGGAAATGGGCATGTATTAGAAACTGTTTAGGTTGTTCTTACATACAGTAAAGAGAATTATTGACCTAGATGTAAAAGGAAATTTTAATAAAAAAATATCCCTTAGTGTTCTTTATGGCTTCAATGTTTAATGAGGAAAATGAAGAAGATATGTATTGATCTATGATTTTTTATTCTGATCAGGGTAGATCACCAGGAGGGTATTTCCTGAGCCAAAGATAAATACAGGTATACTGATAGGCATGTTTCCTATTGGTATCCTAATTTATCCATCACTAGTTTGTTTAGAAACAGGCCCAGAAATCTTACCATTATTCTCTGATATAGGTGTTCTTTTTTAGTTCTCTTTAAGAAATTGTGCTGTAATGATGTTTCTATCTGATGATAATTTTACCCATTATTTGAAAATTTTAGAGATTATTTTTTATTTTAAAAAATTATTCCTTTTTATCTCATGCAAGACAAATTGCAAAACAACTGCATAGCTCATAGCTCTCCACCCAGTTCACATGATTGAATTTGAGATACACCTTGCTCTTAGCAGCAACATTATTTCCAAAGTCTCTTAGGGTGGGTCAATGATACAGACAATTAAGGTCATTAATTTTTTCTAATTTATTTTTACGAGATTACATTTCAGATGGTAATCTTTTCTTGACCTTATCCTCAAATTTTGCAAGCATACTCTGTTAGAATCACGTACTATAATTTCCATAATTTTAGTTCCCTCTCTTTCTACAAATTTAACATTACTGTATTAGAGAAAAATAGATGCAAAGAAGGAAGGTAATTACAGCACATACTATAATTTGCTGGCTCCTTTCTAAGAACTCGAATTAGACATTAACCTCCATCTACGTATGTACATGCATACCTCTGGCCATGTGCTCATATTTATGAGCATTCTAACATTTCAAGACAAATAAAATAAAAATAATAATGCACTTGCAGAACAATTTACATTATGCAAATGGTTTTACAGACATTATTTTACTTAATTGTACCCCAAATTTTGTGAAATAAACAGGATATTATTATTATGATGATGTCTGTTTTAAAATAACCAGATATCAGGGAAATTAATTGTTTGGCCCAAAGCTAGAATTCTGCCTTTTGCTGTTTTGGCTTTGTTAGTTTTTAAAAGTATAATGCTCTATGCTCTATAAAATTCCCAACTTTACCTTTTGAAATGTCATAATAATAACAAATATGAATATTTACAAGACTAGATATATCATGTTATGATATCATCTGGTCTTTTGAAACTTCAGCATTTGGTTAGCAGCTTTTAAAATCTATCATTTATTGAAAGTTCAATCTTCACCTAGGGGAGGTTTTTCTGCAGTTAAATAGCTTCTATCCAGTTTTAAATTATACTTTTAAAATTTATCAAAACATCATTTCTATAGCATCAGTTGATTGAATTGTCATGAGATTGGAGGAGTTGAGACTGCAGGGGGATGGCTAGGTTCACTCAAGGAAGACAGCTGCTCAGCTTTGCTCACTGACCTTAGCATGCAGCCATTAATCTGTATTAACAGAAGTTTCAGGTCATACTTCTTATCTCTGGTTCACTGAATCTAGCTTTGGTAATAAGATAATATTCCAGAAGAAACGAAGCGATACTCTTGACTCTTTAGTCCCAGTGGTTTATGTGGACCACTCTGGAAAAACAACAGCAAGAATAATAGTAAACACTGCTTAAGTACTTCCTGAATGCCAGGCACTGTTCTCATTATTTATGTGCATTGACATATTTATTCCTCATAGCAACTCTATAAGGTGGTATCATTATTAATCAATTAATTACAATTTGAACTCTTTTCTGTATATGAAACATTAAGTTGTAGGATTTAAAATCACATTTATCCAGGGAAATTCTTATGCAATAGTCTATCAAAGCAAGCATCTACTAATGGAATATTGCCTTCTTAGCTTAGTAGGCAAGAAATTCTAGGATTTTTTGATACAGTTTCAAACAATGCAGAAAGCTACATTAAGAAATTAGGTGACGTCATCCAAGAAGCAGAAAAAAAGCACCAAAAAATAAGTTGGTA